AACAGACCGGCGTATAATAATCAGGGCTGTACCTGTCCCTGCACGCAAGCAACCGAATTGAAAACCGACCAAATTAAAGGACTGCCGATTTCTTTTTATATTTAGGTTTAAATGAGGCGAAATAGCCTTAAAACATGAACTACAACTATTTTTTATTAAATATCAATTACATGATTAGCCAAAGGTTTAAAACCAAATTTTGAATAATTATTCACGAGCTTTAAAGCCATACAACGCGCAAACATTAAATATGCGTCTAAAGTTTCTTTTCAGTTATATATACAGGGAACATACAATTTTTCAGTGATAAATCATTAAGGTGGCAAAATTTAAAACAGTTATTTCATCTCTGGTTAGCCGTTGCGAAAATTTTTCATACTTGTTTGAAGATTGTTTTTGGTTTCGATAAAAATTTATTGATATGGATCATGAGGAAATAATTCAAAGATGAAAAAAAATGAAAATATAATTTTTAATGAATATTTTATTATTTATTGTTACACTTATATATGTGCAGATCACGATTGATAGGTGATCGATGAAATTCATTTTTCGCTTTCAATCTCTACTTGTATTTTTTAAACAACATCTTACTCCTAATACAATAGGTACTAGAAATATTAGTAAAAGTTTTAAGCTCGTGGCAACATTTAGGAAAGAAAGTTTTCCAATTGTATTGTTTAAAACAATTTTCTTAAAGGCAGGTTAAGAAAAGCGGTTTCGGATATAGTAAAAAAAGTAACAAAAATGCCATTTGGCGGTCAAAAATGGTCATTAGACATATGCACTTATGTGCCAATAATAATAATTTTATAATGATAATTTTATAATTATCAAATATTTTATAGAGATTTTCCGTTAGACGGCGACGCGGCGCTTACGCGCATCTATATTTCGTCTCTATGTAGTTAAAGCAGTACGATTGCTTTGAAAAAAGTTCAGAACTTTTAAAATATTTTTAAAACGTTTGAAATATTTCAAAATAAAGAATTTTTTTTTCAGTCTTTTCCAAAAAAATATTTTTTTTTCAAAAATTGATATTGTTTCTCAAAACTCTAATTTTTTCAAAATAATTTTTTTAAAAATGTTAATCTTTTTTAAAAAAATAGTTTGGTACAGGAAGTTCCAGCAATTTGCCTTAAGGCACAAAGCCATGCGCCCACTAGTTTTTTCATGTAGGTGAAAGTAAAGTTACTTTGT